ACCCCCTTATTGTGAATTAGCATCTACATATCAGAGAAAACACTGGCCTTTGGTTTTTGGAATTGAATTATTTTGCTTAGCATGATATTCTCCACTACCATCCATTTACTGGCAACCATAATTTAATTGTCCTTTAAGGCTGAGTAATATTCCATTGTGTATAATACCACATTTTCTTTATCTGTTCTTCTGTTGAAGGATACTTAGGTTGGTTCCATAGTTTGGTTATTGTGAATTGAGCTACTATAAACATTGACAAGGCTGCATCATTGTAATATGTTGATTTTAAGTCCTTTGGGTATAAACTGAGGAGTGGGATAGCTGGGTCAAATGGTGGTTCCATTCCAAGTTTTCTGAGGAATCTCTATATTGCTTTCCAGAGTGGTTGCACCAATTTGCAGTCCCATCAGCAATGTATGAGTGCCTTTTCCCCCAAATCCTTGCCAACATTCATTGTTGTTTGTATTCTTGATAATCGCCATTCTGACCAGGTGTGATGGAATCTTTCTTAAATGATACATAAAACTATGTATCATACACAACGTGAAGTTTTGAATGTGTGTAGCTATGAAATGGCTGATTCAAGCTAATATACATCATAGTCCTATTGTTTTATGGTGAAAACACTTAAAGCCCAGCTTTAGCAATTTAAGAATATATCACATTATGAACCGTAGTTTCCATATTATACAATCAGTCTCTGGAACTTATTTCTTCTTACTGAAACTTTATACCCTTTGACCAAAATCTCTCCATCTCTATCACTGCCCCCTGGTGTATAACCACCATTCTCTTCTTTTGTAAGTTCAACATTTTTAGATTCCATGTGTCAGTGTGATCCTGGGGGTGGTGCTTACATAACTGCCTGGCATCACCTAGAGTGATGACCTTCAGGCTCATCAGTTGTTGGAAGTGACGGGTTTCTTTTCTGAAGACCGAGTAGCATTTCACTGTGTATAACTACATTTTGTTCATCCAGAGACCAGGGTGAGCTCCCGTGGTTGATAGTGCAGTGACTGTGCGAGCTAAGTCCATCTTTCCTACCTCCATACCTCTTCCCGACTGTTTCCGTGGCTGTACCCCAGCAGTGGGATTGCTGGGCCTCCACGGTTCAGCATGGCCTCCCCCTGCACTTTTCCACAAGGGCTGCTGCACTCAGTGACCTTTCCACCACCAGTGTGGAAGTGGGCCTTGCCTGTATGTCCTCAATAACTCTTGGCTTTGCCGTTTTCGTATGGGCCATTCTCAAGGGGTGAAATGACAACTTGTTTAAATTTGTATTTCCCTGATGATCAAGGTGTTACCTTTTCACGTACCTGTTAGCCCTTTATATGTGTTTTGAGAAATGTCTGCTCAGGTTCTTTGTCCTTTAGATGAAGCAGGTTTTCCTGGTGTTGAGTTCCTGGAATGTCTTGGATGTTAAGACCTTAGCAGGTGTGTGATTGGAAGACGTTTCCTCCCATTCTTCAGACTGCCTTCCTCATGGGCTTAAAGTGTCCTTTCTTGTGGGTCAGTTAGCAGCAGCAGCCCCCTAGCTTACTGTCACAGGGGAGGGGAGGGTGCAGGCTGATAGGCCCTGCAGTTACAAACTTGCAAAGTGTCCAAAACTGGGTAGAGGAGAGGGAGGACCAGTGTGGCTCCTGTGGTAGCATCTCACTGACGAGCAGGATGAAGTGCTGCTACTGGACTCCAGCAGGTCTTATCTCCAACAAAAAGTCCACCCTCAGGGATTTAGGGCAGCTGGAGCTCCTTCATTTGCAGGGACAAGAAGCAGGGCACTCTGAGGCCGACCACTGTGCAGTAGGCCTGGGAGCTACCCCTGCATGTTAGAGCAGGAGGCTCTGGGCCACATAAACCCTCTACAGAACACCCCAGTGAGAGGCCCAGGAAGGGTCAGCATGATAAAGAGTGAGGAATTCAGGGAAAAAAACCACGATCTGCAAGAATGAGTGAATTGTTCTGCCTTGATTTAAATAATCTTTAAGGAGGAAAAAACTGCCAGCTATAAATGGGTTTCCTGAATTTTGAGGAAATGGTGAAGGTAGGAAAGAGTTTGGGGTAGCCCATGGTCTTTTATGACTCTTTAGAGGCTCTTTAAAATTGGAGAAATGCAATAAAAAAATAGTACAAGCCCTGGACCATGAATTAATAAATATTTAAGTTAATGGTACCAGCTGATCATTCCCCTAGAGCCATGATTCCACTCCACAGTAGGTAATTTTGGCCAGAGGCTGTTCAGTTCAGAGGTACACAATTCCCTGCAAAAGCATTCCCCTCCCTCTGTCGATCCAACTGCATTAGTAAGGACTCCCTGGTCGGGAAGCCGGCATTTGTCTCTGCAGAAGTGCACTCTGGGGCAGCACCCCTAACATAGTCCTGGAAGAGGGGGGCCCTGGTTAACCCAGGGTAGGTAAGGCCCAGCTCTCCCTGGAGGCTCACAGGGTGTTAATGTAACAGCCCAAGAAGCCTCGAGAGGGGGCCTGGAAGGTTCTAGGTAGAGGCCTAAGCACCGGAGTTGTCCTGTCTTTGGTGGCATTTGTATGGTGTTATACTATCACCTTCTCTGAGTGAATGACCTGGGTCCCAGTGCTAGACCCACCATCCTCTTTGTGGGAAGCCCGATTCCTAGATCAGCTCAGTTCCACCTGGAAGCCCTGCACAGGCTTGCTTTGACCCACAGGTAAGCTATGAACACGTGATCAGAACAGGCATTATGCTTCTCTTACAGAAAGGGTGAGGTGTTACCTTGGCTACCCCCTTTCTTGGGCATTCTTTATCCAACTTTCTCTCATTTGTCACTTGATGCTTGTCTTCCATTGTCTCTGGCAGTTGGCAATGGCCCTGCTACCTACTATGTGCTGCCCATCAGATGGAACTTCCTATACGCGTTTGGAGTGGACTTTAGACTCATGGGTTGCTGGGAGCCATTAGCCAAGTAGGTATGACAATTTCCTTGCCAGCGTACCCCATGTTGCAGTGACATTGAATGTACGTGACCTTGCTCAAGGACCAAGGCAGATTAGGGTGTTCCTGGTTTTAAGATAATCGTGTTTAGGGCGTTCCCAGTTTAGGTTCCAGGTTTAAGGTTTAAGATTATTCCTGCTGGGAATAGGGCGTATCCTGCTGCCTGAGTTCCCCTTGAGTTCTCACGGGATTCAGACAATATATTTTGGAGATAGAAGCCCAGTGGAGGTGAATTTGGGCAGAGAACGTGGATTTGGGCAGAGAACGTGGATTTGGGAAGAGAACGTGGGTTTCCCCAGAACGTGATTGTAGACGGCTGGTGTGAGTTCGGGAATAAAGAGTTGCTGTTTGAATCTACAAGCTGTGTGGTGGCTCGTGATTGTGTGCCCAGCCAGACTGCGGCATTTGTGCCCAGCCAGACTGCGGCAATGGGTGCCAGGTCCTAGGCAGTGCTGCTGTGGAGCACCTGAAAGGTGGTTAGTAAAAGGATTGAACTTCCTTCATGTAAAGACATACACATAGTTATTGGAAAGTACTGTTGGATACAGGGAGGCAGTTGAAAAAATATTTCGCAGTGTACAGTATTTCTGATGTTTATGATGTAAGACTGCAACAGCTAAAATGTACTGGCTTTTGCAGGCTGCATATGAAGACAAAACCTTGAGTTTATTGTGAGTTTTAAAATTTAATAATTTGAAATTTTAAACTTAAAGTTTGAAATTAAAAATTTTTTTGATGGACTTTTAGTTTTGTGTTTATATGTGGTACTGAGAATTGAGCTCAGTGCCTTACACATGTGAGGCAAGCACTATACCACTGAGCCACAACCCCAGCCCCTATTATGTTGAAATTTTTGATGTACTAAATGAATTTCATGTATTTGTAACATCCAGTGTGAGTCAGTTGCATCATGACCAAGTTATTCATGGCCTCTGCTGCAATCAGAGACCACTGCCTTCCCTGTGAAGGGCTCAGCCCCCAGCCCAGTCAGACCTTGGCATGGAATGCAGCATGGAAAACTGGCGCCCCTGGAGCACTGGGTACCTTCAGCACCACATGGATTAAGAACAAATTCTAGAATTAGACTGAAGTTCAAGTTCCAGCTCAACTCTTTGTTGACTAAGTAATATTGGGTAGCTATCCTAGAGTCTAGACAATGGGAATAAATGCCACAGGTCAGGTGGTCTGAGACCCACATACACTAGACACAGCACCTAGGATAGCTGCTGTCACAGGGAGACCAGGCAGGGCCCGAGAGTAGAGCATAGGCAGTAGCCATTCCCCGTCTACCAGTGGTTTGAAGTGTGCGCCCTGGAGTGTGACTAACAGCATCAGTTACTAGAAAGTTCCTCAAACAGGACACCAATCTTCACATGTCCCCGTTTCCTCTCAGCCTAGGGCCTACTCAACTAGGAAGCCACTATCAGTTCTAGGTTAAGCGACTAAGCCACTTCTAGTTGCCCAATCCTCCTTTGAAAACCAGGATCTGGAGCCATGACAAAGTCTGTTGTTAAAGAATGGGACCAGCAACAGCTAAGAAGTGGTTAGAAATGCAAGGCGAGAACTCCGCCCAGATCTCCTGCATTAAACTCCAGAGAGGGACGGAAATGCTTTCCCCTCAGCCCTCCTGCGACCCTGCTGCTCACTCAAGTTGAGAACCAGGGGTCTAGGAAAATCCCTGGCAAGCCTTGAACTAGTCCTACCCTCTTTTGGTTGTTCTTGTCTAATGGAAGATCTTTGTTCTATTCCCCTTTGAGTCTTTACAGCCTGTTAAGCCAGAGATACTTAGTGTACACACACACACACACACACCCCCTAGAATTGTCAGCCTTGAAATACTATCAAAAATGTTTGTTCTGTTCAGAAAGATACTCCTTTATCCAAGCCTTTCTCAGATGAGACACCACCCCAGGCTGGTAGGATGAGATTAAGAGCTGTTAGGTAAAGAATTAACCTAGAATTGGCCGATCAAATGACAAGCTCAGCACACGTGGCAGGGCAGTCTGGCTTTATTTGACACATTTGGTCTGAGGAGCTCATCTCCGTCTCCTGATAGCCAAGTAGAATACCAACAAGGCTCCGACGACGAGGACACCAGAAAGTCCTGCCACCCACAGAGCCTTGGGATCTACTGGAGCACCTGGGGATGAAGAAGTATAATCAGTGAGTGCCACAAGTCTGTCCTGACGAAGACCCACCATCGTCCTTGGTAAGGGAATGGCAGTAAGGGGATGGTCAGTGACAGGAGGGAGGAAGGAGCTCTCGTCTGCAGGTTCAGGTGGCTGGTTAAGTTTCCTTCCACTTACTTAAGTGTGTATTGGACTTTTCCAAAGGGTCCTTAGAGTCTTGGAGAAGAAACATGGGGCCATTGCTGGAGATGCTGGCAGTACTGTTCTGATGATAGAGGTCAGATCTTCTTCCTGTTGGAGACACGAGAGCTGGGAGTGTTAGAATTTTAATTTTTGTACACACAGAGCAGGGGTAGGGAGTGTTAGGACACAAACCAAGGGGCCACAGGACAGAGCTCTGTACCAGCCATACAAGGGCTTCACGTTAGCAACTTATGCAGGTTTGAGGCTTTGGATCTAATGCTCTTGCCTCAGATTCACCAGAATCAGGGCATAGAAGTCTGATGTTAGGAACACTTCCCAAATTATCCTTTTCCAGAAGGGTCACTGACAGTAACCCCTTTATAGTTCCGTTGTCTTGGTATCACAGGGAAGGGTATTTAATTGTTGAAATAGGAAGAGCAGAAATGCTTTAACCTGTCAGCTGACGTCAATCTAAGATGGTTTAGTCCTTTAGGAGTAGGACTAACGTACATTAGGTTGAATGGTAAGCACTTAACATAATGCCCTGCCCTGTAACTACCAATTAGTTACTATGAGTGTTTCATTTTTTTTTTTCTAATTGCTAGAAGTTACTTAGAGCTTTAAGGGTCGTGAATCCCAAGTCAAGGAAGAGATAGGTACCAGACTGTACCTGTAGAAGCAAGCATGCTACAGCAGCACAGGGTCTGCCCGACAGGGGATGGTGCAAGTCTACAATCATTTCAGCTAAGGGTCTTTAGACTACATCACCAGAAGTGCCCTCAGGTGGGCATAGAAATTGACATTTATTACCTGGCCAGGTGTGTTTTGTGGAGTTGAGCAAGGTGTGGGCCATGGACTGGTTTGGCTCCTGGTTTCAAAGCTCATTTGGAAAAGAGCTCAGGTTGAGAGTTTATTGCTTCTATTTTAAAGGGCCTGGCATTCCAGAAAATTGGCTGTCTCTGTGCTCATGATACTGCAATTGGTACCTAGAGAGGCTTTATTGAGTCCTGGCCATGGGCCAAGAACTATTGGGAGTTGGGATCATGATCCATTTGCGTGTGTCCACTAGTATAGACGGCATACTCACCCCTCATGACAGGACAGGTCACCATGCAGGCTGGGGTCCCTGCAGGCTGGCACACTGATGCACTACAGTGCAGGTACACCTGGAGGCCAACAGAACTTGGGTCATGGTGCAGTGCCACTGTGTCAGATGTCTAAACCCACTTCATCTCCCCAGGAAGGGTTCAGAGAGGTAGTTATCAGCACAACTTGATATGTCCCCGCTGATGTCACCACAGGCCTGAAGAACTAGGGCCCAGGTGACAGCCAACACTCATGTCACTGGTATCCAGGGCTGTTCAGGCAGGATTAGCAGGCAGCATCGAAGAGCTAGCCTGCTGGGAGGGGGGGGAGGGCAGGATGGGGACAGTCCTAAGGTAAGGGGTCAGAGACCTGCCGAGTGGTATAAAAAGGAGCATCAAACCTGTCCCCTGAGAGCCTCCTTTGTCCTCGCAGAGTCCACGAAGCTGAAGGTGGAAATGCTGAAGCGCTGGTGGTGGGAGGGGAATGGCAGGCCCGGGGCCTTCTGGACGGGCATCAGTCGGGTTCGGTAATTGTCTCCTGCGTAGGGGCACCTGGACCAGGAGGCCCCGCGGTCAGGACAGGCGTCAGGGGATTAGTGCCTACATACAAGAGAACCACTTACCCCTTCACCAGTATGGGCCACTGAGGCTGCTGTTGGGGGCTGGGGCTGGGCGTGGCCCAGCACTGCCATAGGAGCAGCCCCAGGTTGGGGTCTGTCCTGTGCAGTATGGAGACGTCCACGTGAATGGGCTCCCGGAGCAGCTTCACCACTGGGTAGTCCCAAGCAGCATAGTAGGAGCCATAGTTCTCGTCTGCACAGAGCCAGAGTAAGGAGTTACAGTGGTGCCGACAGCTGGGAACCTGTAAGTCACAGTCTGTCACCCCCCTGAACACCTGTGTAAGCATCTTGTTACCACATTAGCCTCTCCATGCCCAGAACCATGAAGGGACTGGTTACAGGACAGATACTCCAGGCAGAAGGGTCTTACCCTTGGCAATCTGAAGTTCCAGAGTGAGGGCTCCCGGCTGGGCCTTAGCAAGAGGTGGCGGGAGAGGGAAAACCTGGACGTTAACGGGGAACGTGTTGCTATTTATGGAGTAGCTGCAGCTGACTCGAAGCCTGAGTAAAAAACAAGATTTTTGCTAGCTTGAGGGGGCTGGCCATACCTCCTTCATTTTAATTCCTAAAGGCCACCCAGTACTAGGGGTTACACAAACTCTTAAATGTGACAGATGTGGTTCCTACCCGGTGGGGGTTGCATTTTAGTCAGAGTGACCAATATGTAAGAAGGGCCAGTGTAAATTGAAGGCAAGAACCATACAAGAAAAGACCACCTTGAGGAGCAGGTACCTACTGTAGAGAAGGTGGTCGGGGCACATATTGACATGAGAGCAGAAGTGACAGTTAAAGGGTGCAGGAGGGAGAGGGACACCTGACCCAGAGCAAAGCTGGGGGCAGGAAAGTGCTTATGGCTCTTTGGATCTCCCCTGGGGCTGGGGCACAGTGGGTCAGGGGCTGAGTGTCAGAGGGCAGGTGGGAGGGTGGGGAAGTAGGAGTCATTTCCACCCAGGCTCAGAGTTATGGCCACGGTAGCTATGGAAAGCCAAAATACTTAAAGCAAGAGATATGGCTGAGGAAAGGTCTCAAAGGGACTCTTTTGGCTTCAACATGGACAGTGGAAGAAGGGGGAAGGCTAACATGACATTAAAAACAGGAGCCGAGGTGAGGGCCGAGATCAAGTTGGTACAGTGAGGCAGGTGGACTTTAATGGTCAACACGACTGGCAGAATGAGGCACTGACCCTCTGCTGTTGATGAGGGTTCCTCTGTGGACTTGGGGCTCACCGTTGACCCGTGTTATGAACTGAGGGAAGTCACTCTGGTCAGAGACCCTTAGATAACCAAGACCTTACCTGAAGATGCTGTCGCGGGTGATAGAGCCATGGCCCCAGGTTCGCACGTCCCTAGTGGCCACCAGCTCGTTTTCATATACCACCTGGTCCCCAGCAATCTGAGGAGAGGGTGAAGAGGAGTCGTCATTCTCACCACTTCCCTGACCTGGTACTCAACCATGCCATGTGCCTAGCCTGGGACACTTCCTGCCCTGAGCAGAGGCAGGGGCTCCTGGCAGTGACTGATCTGGAAGGCACAGCTCACTGCAGAATGGAGCACCAGGAGGAGCCCATTCCTCATTTCTCTTTTTAGTAGCTTGGATCACAGCCAGGATGGCATTACTGACACCCAGGGGAAGCCTCAATCATCTCAGAGGCAGCCTTCTTCTGGCCCTAGAGACCATCCTGAACACCAGGAGTCAGGACTGTCCTTCCTGGCCAGGACATTCCAGCTGTCTCCTAGCAGTCACTCAATCATGGCCCTCGACTTCTAGAACCAGGAGAAGAGCCCAAGGTGGCAGTTCTTACCTGTCTTGTGGTGCCACAGGAAGTAAACGGAAACCGGAACAGGACAAAGGCGTGAGTTGTGGTCATGGGGTTACAGTCGCTGTCATTCCCGAAGGCCAAGTACACAGAATCCAAGCGCAGTGGAGGCGAGGCCAAGTTCCGGGAAACAGCGATGGAGAAGTGGCCCTCTTGGGTACACTGTGAGGTCACTGAAACACCGGAGCAACTATGAGGGTTGGTTGTTGCTCCCGTGATTGGACCAATTCAGGGCAGTTTAGGTGTCACAGCCCACAGGAGGCTCAGGGAATAGCAGGGCTCAAGTCGTGCCTGGCCGCTGTGGCCCAAGGCCAGGGTCTAACTGCCTTGTGGCAGCTTTGTTTGTGAGCTTGGGATGGTACCCCATCTTCCCAGAATTCAGATCTGAGAGGGGCTTACCAAGCAGATTTTTTGGATTTCAAAACCTTAGAGCATGATTTGGAGTCTGGAGATGGTAGACTTCTTGAAATAAGGCTCTCTAAATAATCTGACCATCAGCCACCAACGTGGCCATTCCCTGGGCAAAGATGAAGTCTCCATCTATTAGCGAGTACCTGACTTTGTTCCTTGAGGTCCCCGAGTGTTTGCTGTGGTTTGGAGTCTGGGAGAATCAATGATGGAGGCCGACAGAGTAGGCCTGGAAAAGTAGGCCTGACAGAGTAGGCCTGGCCTACTTCAGCCTCTTGCCACCACCAGTGTTTGCCGCCTCTGCAAGCCTGTACCCTGGGCTTCATAGTAAGAGGCTGCTTTCAGAGACAGGCCACTCACTCACCTGTGTTTCCATAGTAACAGGAGCCTGCCTCTTCCTTGTCCAAGGCATAGCAGCAACCCAGCACCTCGCAGTCTCCTTGAGAGATAGGTGAAGGAGCACAGGGCAGCCTGTCCCTCACTGGTACAGAGTCACACAGGGCGGCATCCAGGGCGTCTGGGGATGGGTGTTGAGAAGGAGAGCAGCTGTAGCTTGCAGATCGTCACTGTTACAAAGCCTCAACACCTAGTTCCCAGACCTCTAGAGGACTGCAGTAGGTCTGTCCATGTTACAGATTAGATTAAGTCTGAGCTGTCAAGTGCACATTAAGTCAAGTCCCCTGTGGGGCCTCCCGAGCACCCTCTAGGTGGGAACAATGGCAAGACCAGAGGAGCATGGGGTCTCCTTCCTCTTTCCAGATAACAGCCTTCCCCTTCCTTCCTTCCTAAAATAGGAGCTACCTGAAGATCTTTTAGAACACAGGCCTGGCTTGGTGGCGTCCGACTCCTCACTGTATCAGTCTCATGCCTCCAGACTGTTCTGAGGAGCAGGTAGTGGAAAGTGTGGTCCAGTTCCACCGGCTGAGAGCAAGGCAGGCTCTCAGCTGGCCAGGCAATGCTTTCTGAACTTTAACGTCATCATCTGTGACAATTCCCTAGTTCAATGATCAAGTAGCTCCACTGTAAGTGGGAGACGAGTCCTAGTCTTTCCCAGGTGTTTGCTAAATCCCCTGGCCCCTGCTTACTGGGCAAGGATCTCCTGGTCCTAGGCTAATTCTTGCTTGAAGTCAAGCTCTGCTACTCAGTGACAGGCCTCTGGGCAGGCTCACTGCAGGGACCAAACCACCAGATCAGGTGGGACAACACTCCAAGTCCTCCCCAGGGGCCAGCCTGAGGGAGGTGAGGGCTGGAGAAGCAGTGGTTTATGAGAGCTGCTGCATAGAGCAGGTAGAGAGACCACGGGCACTTTGCAGCAGCAGCACCCCACCCAGATCCTGACTCCTTCCCGCCATTACCTGGACGGTCCACAGGACACCTGAGCAGCCTCCTCTTCAAGAGCACCTTGAATCCAGAAGTACCTATCCCTTCCACTCCGACAGGCATGACATATTGGGATCCCTGGAGGGAACAGGCCCCAGGGGAGTCAGCATGCCTGGTTGCAGGAGGAGGTCTCTGGTCCCTGGCGGCCGGGTCTTACTCACCCACTCAGTGACGTAGCAGCCATTGTAGGTTGCTTCCAGTGCCACGGAGTTGCCGGGGCCCTCCTTGACCCAGGTACCACAGCTGGAGTCATTCTGCAGTCTGTGCGGCAACCCCTGCTTATCTGGGGAAAGGGGAGGTGAAAGCACCAGAGGTCAATCATCCTGGTCACCAGTGCCTGGCCTGCCACTGGACCCGGGGGGTGCTGCCAATGAGAGGTGTTCGAGGGCCACAGCTTCAGAAGTGGCTCTCAGACTGACGTTCTGCATCAGGGGCTGCGGAGTTCACGGAGGTGAGGCAGGTGGAGAGCGGGGACTGGGGGAGCCACCTCTGCTGGAAAAGCCGGGAGAGTCGTTGCTCTTACCCCACGCTGTCAGCACAGGGGTCACTTCTTGGTCGGTGAGGTCTACGACGAACTGAAAACCCTGCAGCCCACAGCGGAGGACCCCAGGACCGCCTGGCACCTCCTGCTGGTCACTCAAAGCAAGAGACAACGGAAAGCAGAGCCACAAGGCTTGCAGCAGCTGCATGGCACTACCTGGAACTTGGCTGCCTCAATCCCCACCGCTACTCTCCCAGGAGCCCGTCCCCCGGGCCCAGAGGGCTTCTTTATACCCAGAAGGACGGCCTGGGCCCAGGTGTGCCTCCTTCACAGCAGGTGGAAGGCCTTGGAAAGGGGTTTCTCACAGTCTGCAGCTGCCTCCCATTAGAGGCCCCCAGGGCCCAGGAAAATGCTGGACCTTTCCCCTGAGGAGGGGCCGCTTGGGTTTGCTGGATGTCACGCTGATTCCGCCAGCTTACTGACTGCCGAAGTCCTGCCTGGGAGCTTGGCATATTGGAGTAAGCGTCCCAGCTTTGCCATCTGCGGGTGGTGGGATTTAGGTAAGTCACTTTTTCAGAATTGTGGTTCTCTTCAGTGAAATGAGCACACTCTCCTGGCATCAGGATGAGGTGAGAGATTCTGCATTGAGTGCCTAGCACGGGGCTGGGCCAAGCAGTGAAGAGCTGGTGCCCCGAGGGCCCTGAACTCTGCTTCTGAGCTTTGGTGGGAAGTCACTGTACAAAAGAAAACCTTAAACCTGATTCCTGAGACCAATTGATTTAGAGCCCTCTCTGGTCCTCAGAGAATCCCATCCCAGAGATCTCTTCCTGATGAATCCCAAGGCTTTAGTCACTGTACTGTCCTTTGGGCTCCCTGGTGGGATTTCAGGGGAAATGAGAAGTAGACATGGTTCCATCTGATTTCTACAGCTATTTAGGCACCTTGCCATTGACCTGTCTCTGCATGTTTTCCTGAGGAGGTTGGAGTTTTGCAGGCTTATTTCCCGTGTCTTTGTTATAAGTTACGAGGTATACACTTTGGCTACGCTAGGTCAGAGCCTGAAGTCAGCCTATGGCAGCACCATGGGAGCCGAGGGATGAATGAGCGCATTCCTCACCAGCAACGTGAGGCACCCATGTCCCCAAATAGTCATCTGAGTATATTTAACCTGATATTTTGTCATTTGACACATTTTCTTCAGCTAAGGGCGTAGCACTGAGGCTGTACAACCAGGATCTCCAATTCCCTTTCTTTATAATGAAAGAAAACAAATAGCTCTCTCTTCCTGGGGTACAGGTGACCCAGGCGGGGCCATATAGCCTTGGACTAGTGCTGGGCTCTGCTGTCCCTGAAGGGATGTGGCTTCCTGGCCCCACCTGGCTCAGGCGCCCAGGACTGAGTCTCACATGGCATTTACTCCCTCATAGGATTAACAGCTTTGTGCTGTGACTCTTCCTTACCCGGCTTCACTAATGGGGCACTTGAGGGCAGCGGCTCCTAGCATCCCCAGGGGCTTGGACAGTGAGTACTCCCTGTGCTGAGCACTATTTCTGGTACCTGCTCCAGGGCTAGCTCAAAAGTGCAGTTTCTAAACCTTGCTGTGCAGGTTCTTTTCTTTATGGGCTCAAACTCAGCTCTGAGACAATTTTCTCATACACATGATTGCATATATGAACTATATAAGGTTTTTTTTTTTGTACTGGGGATTGAACCCAAGGGTGCTTTACCACTGAACCACATCACCCAGATCTTTTAATTTTTATTTTGAAGCAGGGCCTTGCTGAGTTGCTGAGGGTCTCACTAGGTTTCTGAGGCCAGACTTGAACTTGTGATGCTCCTGTCTCAGTCTCTGGAGTCTCTGGGATTACAAATGTGCACCCCTGTGCCCAGTTTAGGATTAGATTTCTTGGAGCTGTCTCAGGAGTTAGGTCCAGTCTCCCAGCGAGACTTACTAATGTTCTTTTATAAAATGATGAAAAATCAGTGATCGTTATACTAGGAAGCATTAGCACAGCCAGAGGCTGTTGGTAGGTGATGGGATGTATGCACAGCGCTTATTCTAATGCTCACTCACTAAATTGTGGCTACCTTCAACAAGACCAACTGGGAAGCAGAGGGGAGACAGGTGTCAAGCAATAGACTCATTCAATCAATGGCAATCTGAGGAGCAGCCTAGATTCTTGGGACGGCATTCCCTAGTGCATTGAAGTCATGCAGTTTAAAGTTCATAGAAGTCTGGAACAATGTGGAGGTCCACCCAGGATGACACCAATACCTTGACACTACAGAGAGGTTCAAGAATAAACCTCGAGGGAACACCTGCTGGGGTCAGGTGATTTCATGCTCATTCAGGGCTAAATCCTTCAAGGACATCATTCTATTCCAAAAGTAAAATTCAGAACAGTGATAATGTGTGATCCACCTTGCAGAGCTGCTGGCCTGCCTGATAAAGTGTCCTACTCCCTATTTCAAAATATAATCTGCCCTTTCAATTTGGATCACAAAAGCTGCTCTGTTTTCTTACATTAGAATCACCTGGTGAGTTTAAAAATCATTTTAATACCATTGCCAACAGAATGTGAAACACCTAACCTGTCGAGACTTTTCAGACTCTCTAATCATTGTGGTACTGGTCTGATGCATTTTGTAGGCAGATTTAATCTCCCCTTGCTACCTGCTCGGGAGTCCTGCACAGAAGGCTAAGCTGCTCCTACCTCATCCACTGACCTGACCAGTCAGGATCCCTTCCTCGGAGTGGAAGAATGAGGGCAGCTAAGCCATGAGGGAAAGACACTGGTTTCCACAGACCTCGTTGAATTGGCAGGTTCCCATTGAAATGCTTCCACTCGATCTCTAGAACAAGTGTGGGCTACGTGAACCTCACTGAGGCACCTTTAATGAAACACAGGTGCACCCGGCTCTGGCTCTAGATATTGCAGTCTGGCTGCACGGGAGCAGTTACACGATGCTTTCTGGCCTCCCGGGACAGACTCCTTGGGCTTCGACCTTTACAGCGCTTGTCCTGCTGCCTTGGAGTTTTGCCCCTATCTTATGGTGGGTTGCAGGAAAACGAGGCCCAGGAAACCAGTGTAAAAGAGTAATTAATAATCAACCTCACCCCCAACACAGAGGACCACTGTGAGGGCTCACCAACCCTTAGGGGGCCATGAAGGTGCAGCCAGCTGTTCTGGGCAGGTGGTAGCAATTAGGATTCTTTGAAAGGAAGATGCCAAACTTAAAGTACTGTAAAATACTTCCAAGGTTTTCCTTTTCAACAAGCATAATGAAGGGTAATTCAGAGTTGCTCGTGAGGTGATGAGATCCCTCACCTGTCCCTTCTTTCAGTTCGTCTCTGCCCAGGACCTCAAGATCCACTCTCAAGTCTACCTTGCTTCCTGTGCAGTGCCTTGTTCTGGTTTCTTCTCTCCACCCTCACCCTTCTTTTGCCACGGTGACCAGGAGTGGGAGGGGGTGTCATCCCTCTGTTTGCAGGCAGCGGACCTCTGGCTGAGCAGCTCTTGGGACTGTGTGAGGAATGTCAGTCTTTCTCTCCTCTTAGTGGAAGAAGGGATTAAGAAAGCGCTAGGGGAGTAAGTTGCTAAACACAGTTAAGATCTTCTGGGTGAAGAGTAATGACAACATGGCTGGGTTTTCCTGCCCATCTGTGCCATCTCTGTTGACATGCAATACCCTTCCCCAGCCCTGATCATCCACTTCAGGGTAGGCCCTGCTCTCTTCTCTCTAGGGTGTGTGGGTGAATGTGTCCTCCTCATAGGTGACATTACTGTTCAGATACCATAAACCATTCGAGTCTCCATCATCATCCCTCTACTGTCATGAAACATATAATTATCGTGGCTTCTTATTCTGACTTTAAAATGTTGAGAGGGGGAAACCCTTACTCTTTTTGATTTCAGGTGATTTTTTTTTTTTTTGAGAGACAGTGAGAGAGAGAGAGAGAGAGAGAGAGAGAGAGAGAGGGAGGGGGGGAGAGAGAGAATTTTTTTTTAAATATTTATTTTTTAGTTTTCAGCGGACACAACATCTTTGTTTGTATGTGGTGCTGAGGATCGAACCCGGGCTGCACACATGCCAGGTGACTGCGCTACCACTTGAGCCACATCCCCAGCCCTTCAGGTGATTTTTATAGAGCTTCTCCAGACATAGCCAGTTGGCACTCAAAGTGGCTCCTGCCTACTTATTAATTACTAGTGCAAGCCTGCGGTCAAGTATGCATCCATCCAGAGCCAGAGAGGTATGCAGAAGGAACAAAGTTAACGGCCAGATTGACTGGCTGCTGCACAAGTCTTGAAGTTGGCAGGTGTCATTGGACAATTGATTGGCCTCCTCATAGTGTGGGTGGGAACAGCTAATTTAATGTGTATCATCTGAGGAATTGCCCAAAATAATACAAAACACACTTTCCATGCCATTATGGTTTGAGAATAAGCACTGTTGTCTGATTACAAAGGCCACAGTTGCAGAGGCCAGAAGTTGGAGATCAAGGTTTTGGTAGGGCTGTGTTGCCTTTAAAATGCACAAGAACAACCCTTGCTTGTCTCTCTTGTAGCTCCTCGGCTTGGCTGGCAACCCATAGTGTTTCTCAGTTTGAGGTGCAGCTCCAGCCCTCTCTCACATGCCACCCTCCCCGTGAGTCTGCATAGCCTCTTCCCTGTGCCCAGATTTCCTTTCTGTAAGGACACCAATCATATTGAATTAAGGCCTACTGGAGTGACCTCATCTTTACTTGATTATAAAGACCCTATTTCCAGATAAGGCCACATTCTAGGTACTGGGATCTAGAACTTCAACCTGGCTTTAATCTGTGGGGGTGGGGAATACAATTCAACCTGTAACCTCTGACAAAGTGTTGTAAACTTGCCTTGCTCATACTAACATTTATCTGGGTTGAGTTTTCTTTTTTTTTTTTTTTAAGGTAAAACAAAACCTTTGTACATTTTTGTTGAGAGCCAAAGCCGAGGGGGCCCCAGCAAACTTCCAGCTGCCAGCTGATGATTGGCTCACAGCAGCCCCAGCAAACTTCTAGCTGCCAACTGATTGGCTCCTCTACAGTGATGCTCATTGGGCTGTTTCCCCACCCTTTCAGACCATGGAGCTGCTCATTGGGGGACTTTTTTTTTTGGCTCCGCCCACGTGACCCAGCCAATCGGCCTCAAGAGCAGGAGGAGTGGGGGAGGTTGAGAGGCT